CCCCAGCACATACACCCCTCAACAAATGGCACCAACGGACCAGACCCCCCACAACCCCCAACATTCCCACATTCCCCTCAATGTCGTCATTAAGCCCAAGTAACCCCTTCTCCCACATTCCCACATACCCCTCAGTAAACCAATGTCACCCCTCCCCCCACATTCCCACACACCCCCTAGTAAACACAACTTACCCTCGTCTCCACGAAATTCACAAATTCTCATAAAATAGTAAAAAAATACACGAAATTGCAATCATCAGAACACAACTCTAAGTTCAAGACAGTAGAACGAACCGAAATACACAAACACAAAAGCTACAGTAAGAAAACAAGTGAACAATAGAACTACCAAGTAACCAAAGTAATGAACATCGTTGTTGAAGCATGGAGTTGCACAGTATCGTCAATATGAAAAAAAAAAAAAAAAAAAAAACTAAAAAAGAGGAAATATTCTAAAAAAAAAAAAACTGAAAAATAAAATTAAAAAACAAGAAGAAGAACGAAACCTCTAAAACACTAAATGAAAATAGACATACACAAACATCATCGGCGCGATAACAAAGTCCCAGCCTACGACAGATCGCACTGCCCGTCGTCTGTGTCGTCGTCATCGATGATGCACTCAGTGCAGCGCTCTCGCCGCCTGTGCGGCACCGTCGCCGCTGTCTCCTCTCCTTCCCCTAAATGTTGTGACGCAGACGCGGCTTCATTGCCAACTGCTCCGGTTGCCATCCTCTTTGCCTCATGGACTCTGTCTCTCTCTCTGCACCCCGTGCAACAAAACGTCCCAAAATGCTAGTCAGGGTGGTGTACCACTATACATCTTCCCACCCTTAGGCATGGGCACCCCGTTCGCCGCGGAATCCTCCATGTGGCCCCCAAGAGCTCGACGACTGCCCGGTCCTGTCGCTGTCTGACGTCGCGACTCCTCCTCGAGTATCCTGTGCGCAGTCGACAGACAAGCTCCACGGCTGCTCTGCAATGTAAGAGCCTAAGAGGATCAGGGAAGTCGGGCAGCCGGCAAAGCACGTGTGGACGATCGCCCTTTGGGACATCGATGACCATGCCGCACCTGCTGCGGGCGGTCGTGACGGCGGTGCAACCATCATGTTGCCTCGTCCCTCAGCAACGCACGACGACTTGACACCAGGATGCTCCAACCTATCTCCCTTTTGTACCCAGTCTGCTGAGTCTGCAAACATCTCTGACAACCTTCCCTCACGATCTCTCCTCTCACCCGTAACCCCAGGCATAGAATCCTTAAGTTTGCGGGTGACCCTGTTGATGTCACTCCACGATACGGACTTCCTCTTCGCCTTCGATGAAGGTGATGGAGAACCCCGCACATGCTCGTGCCCTCCTGTTGTTGCCGCTGCTGTAGAACCCTCTCTCCCACCAACACTCCCGCCTGAAAGGTCGGGCTGTCCGCCAACAACTGTGCGACCACCTCCCCCGCCACCAACACTGTCACCAGACTTGCCTCCTCGTCCACTCACCGCCCCTGCACATGTCGGTCGTGTCCCCGCAGCAACTGACCCTGCTCCCCACAACACCCCTCACGGCTCAGTAACCCTCTGACCTGTCAGTTGTTCGAATAGGTCGGCCATCTCCATGGACCTCCCAATATCCCCCGATACCCCCGAGGGCACTGGCGGACTAACAGGCACGAAAGAAGATGAAGGCACTGCCTTCCAAAGTCACTTCGATATATGCCTACTCTTGCCCATCACCGGATCAATCCCGCCAGTGTGGCGCTCGAGTGGGGACATGGTGGGCGCGCGTCTCTCAACGGGGGCAGCAACAACTGCCCCATCCACCTGTCGCTCCTCCTCAATGCGATGTGCAACCACATCATCCACTATGATAAGACCATGCTCGGTGTGATCTGCAACCACATCCTCGTTGCGATCGGCAACCACATCTTCCATTGCGGCAACGCCGACAAGTACTCTATCCACATGCCCCTCCACATCCGTACGATCGCACCCAAGCAACCCCCCCCTGTCTCTCGTGGCCACACCGTCGCCCTCGTCCCCCTCATCAACAGTGGGGAGTCATGTGTCGCCGTGGCCACATATGTCACCCAACCCTAACCTCGTGTCCTCCTCGTCTCCGTCCACATGATGGACGTCGTGTCCCTTCGGGCGGAGTCCCCCACCATCTGCAGCATTTGCGGACTGCAGGACCACTGTGCGTACACTCTGATGCTAATCTAGTGGCAGTGACCTCCTCCACAGTACACCCCATCTCCCTCGCCCTCGTCGTGTCCTGCTCTAATGCAAGTTGTTGTGTCGTGGCACACCCCGATACCATCAGTCTCAACCGCTCCCCCTCAAACACGTCCTTAGGGTCCATGTCTAGCCGTCTGGCAACATCTCGATCCGACGATAGAGGCATGACGTCGTCACCGCGCTTGCCCTCCTCTCTCTCGCCTGTCGTTCTAGCAGCCTCTGTCAACATCCCCAAACTCGCACCACCAAAAATCGACCCTATGTGGTATGCAACATCGCTGGCCGGTGTCCGAACTCGCACCCCACCGTGCTTGGAATCTGAAGTGGGTGGACCTCCAACGTCAGAGTTTTCCCTGAATATGCCAGAGGGAATTGATCCCTACAGTACATCCAAACCACATCCTTGCCTGCCGCTAACACGCCCGCCCACTGCATCGGGGCCAGGAGTAACAAGGAATGCGCCGCCTGCCCCGTCGTCATAGGGCCCACCGTCGTCGCCGTCGTTGAACCCAGGCCTTTCCTAGAAGGAAAATCAGGGAAACAATTGAACATATTTTTCTGCAATGTCCGGGCTCTGTTTGGCTGTGGCGCCGATGGAACTATGTGTGGCAAAATTTAACAAGCTTGGAATGGTCGTGGGAATGGAGGGCAATACTGTTGGGTCACAGGAACCCTCAGCTGATAGAGCTATCTGATTTTCAACAAAACTTCTTTCATTTGGAAAGGAAAGCGGTATTGTGGGCACTATGGCACAAACGATGCATTAATGTGAAGGAAGGAGTGAAGATTTAAAGTCAAGAGAGGGCAGAAATAATACAACACTTTGTCCAAACAGAATTCAGAAGCCAATGGGAGAAGACGAAAACAAAACTCAAAGAATTTAAACAAAAAATAGATATCAAACAACGGATCCAAAAGTTTCAATTGGAATGGCTAGGGGATGCTGCAGGGGAGAAACTGGGGGAAGTAATATGGCCGGGAGGGGTAGGGAAGCAGGGGATGTTCAAGAGGGATTACCAGATCACCTTTTGCAACTGGTTTGACATCCAACCAGGACCTTCCCTGAGAGCACCCGAGTACTTTGCTGATCCTTTCCCTCCCTCTACACTAGCTTTAAATTGGTGGATCTTGAGTGGTTTGGGGGGGGGAGGGGTGGATAGGATACAACAATAGGTAGTGTTAGATAGACTCTAAATTGGGAGGCTAAGATTATCATTCTAATCAGGCGGTCAGAAGTCTGACTGAAGAGGCACTCCCACCTTCAGGTTGAGGTTTTTAACACTTGCATCAGTGTTTCTGAGAATGGGTTGGTTTCCTTGGTAAGGTGGTAGAATAGCAATGAGCCTATTTATTAAGAATAGATGACAGTAGCAATGGGACGCTGGACCCGGTTTCCAGCACAGGGGTCAGCCTGTTTATTAAGAATAAATCACAGTAGCAATGGGACACTAGACCTGGTTTCCAGCACAGGGGTCATTAAAAAAAAAAAAAGGGGCTCCTTTCGCTCCCTCTGTACAGTACATAGTCTGAAGTGTGGGTCGAGGGACGCTGAGGCCGGTTCTCAGCAATTTAGGTTTGGTTATTCCGGGTAGACTGTGAGGACCTCGACCTCAATTCTTTTATTGGTAATATCAGCCTTGGGCACTGGGCCCCCCTTAAACCACCTGTACCTCCCCCACTGTTGGGAAATTACGTGATGCTGGCCAGTACCCGAACTTTTCGGGGGTGGCAAAAGGCTCGACAACGATTCCCAACAGTGGGGACGATTTGCGATATTGTTTTTTTTATTTTGCTCGGACGATAGAAGAAGTGAGAGTGGATTACAGGGAAGGTAGATGGGTGAAGTTGAACTTTCTTTTCCGAGAAGAGTGCTTCACTCTAGTATCTATCTAGGTCAACAGTAGAGGAAACACTACGTTATTTGGGAATTAGGTTAGCAGAAGCAGGGCCCCGTTTTTTTTGTTCCTGGACAGCGGGCGCGTTGTGGAAACGCTACCGGGTCCCACCGCCGACGGGTTGGTGCGTGGCAGTGGGCCGGTCAGTGTTGTGCGGTTGCCGGTAGATCGTTGTTGATGGACGACCGGCTTCGCGGGGGACCACCTGGCCTCGACGTGCGAACGACCGTCGCCTGTGGACGTCCCTCAGTAGGGTTCTCCGCGGGCCGCCATCACCTCTCTCTCTCTCTCTCTCTCTCTCTCTCTCTCTCTCTCTCTCTCTCTCTCTCTCTCTCTCTCTCACATTCGTGGCTGTCGTCGTTGTTCCGTCGACAGTAGGCGAGGAACGTCATCGCACTTCGTGATTGTGCAGTGAGTTCTTCCGCTCTCTCTCTCTCTCTCTCTCTCTCTCTCTCTCTCTCTCTCTCTCTCTCTCTCTCTCTCTCTCACACACACACACACATTCGTGGCTGCCGTCGTTGTTCCGTCGACAGTAGGCGAGGAACGTCATCGCACTTCGTGATTGTGCGGTGAGTTCTTCCGCTCTCTCTCTCTCTCTCTCTCTCTCTCTCTCTCTCTCTCTCTCTCTCTCTCTCTCTCACACACACACACACACACACACACACACACACAC